CAGTGTGTGCCCGGTGCTGGGCAGCGGCCTTTCCTCCCAGCGCCGCGTGCTCTGCCTGTGGCTTTGCCCCGGTCGATTCCGGGCCCCGTTCCCAAGTGTCCCGTTGGAGTGTGCAGCCTCTTTTATAAAGTACTCACCTTGCCCTGGTCGATTGTGTCTCTCCTGGCTCACCCTCCGCTGTGAATACTTAATGTGTGAGTGGGGGAAGTGTTTGCAGGTGTCAGAGCCGGGTCCAGGAGCAGGCTTGGTGGAGCCAGTGTCTGGCCGGCTGCCCGACCTGCCTGCTGGCGCTGGAGAAGCCAAGACCAGTCCCAGGGGCCCCGAGACACAAGGTACCTGCGGCCATCGGGCGGTGCTCTGTGCCCTCCCTCCTGGCTCCACATCAGAGCCGGGCCAGACGGAGACCTCCCTCTGAGCGGGGTCAGCTCTCCTGCTTCGGGATGCGCAGGGTGGGAAGGGGGCGCAGGGGCACTTCCTTCACTGGGCTTTCCTCCACGGGCCCCTCTATTGCCCTTTTTATTTATTTAATTTTTAAAGAATAGTTTATTGATTTTTAGAGAGAGAGGAAGGGAAAGGGGGAGAGAGAGAAACATCNGGCTTTCCTCCACGGGCCCCTCTATTGCCCTTTTTATTTATTTAATTTTTTAAAGAATAGTTTATTGATTTTTAGAGAGAGGAAGGGAAAGGGAGAGAGAGAGAAACATTNGGGCCCCGAGACACAAGGTACCTGCGGCCATCGGGCGGTGCTCTGTGCCCTCCCTCCTGGCTCCACATCAGAGCCGGGCCAGACGGAGACCTCCCTCTGAGCGGGGTCAGCTCTCCTGCTTCGGGATGCGCAGGGTGGGAAGGGGGCGCAGGGGCACTTCCTTCACTGGGCTTTCCTCCACGGGCCCCTCTATTGCCCTTTTTATTTATTTAATTTTTAAAGAATAGTTTATTGATTTTTAGAGAGAGAGGAAGGGAAAGGGGGAGAGAGAGAAACATCGATGTGAGTGCAGGACCCACAAGGCGTCGGTGCTGGCCCGTGGCAGAACCGGCAGGGGTCATGCGCTCCTTGGCCCTGGCGCCTCTGGGGAAGGAGCTGTCGTGATTGGGCCCACGGGCGCGTGCAGGAAGTGTGGTGCTTTGAATTGCGTGGACCGTATCCGCCTCGGCCCTTCCATTTCGGCCACCTGACGGACAGTGGTCAGCGTGGCTGGTTTTGTGACTTGCGGCTGTGGCTTTCTGTCCTCTGTCCTGAAATCTGCCGGGATCTCATGATGGGCCTGGCCCTCCCGGAGACCGACCGCTGACCACCTGCGCCCTCTCCCCTCAGATGCCGCCCCTACGAGGACTGCTGCGGGTCTCGGTGCTGCGTGCGGGCCCTCTCCATCCAGCGGCTCTGGTACTTCTGGTAGGTCTCAGCCCTGCCTGTCCGGACGCTCCTGCACCCCTCCCACAGGGGCCGGGCCCACAGCCAGCGCTGTGGGCGTCACAGTGGCGTCACCGCTCCCGGGGTCACAGTCTTGGGGCTGCTTTGGTTAGCAGGCAGGTGTGTTTGGTTGGCCTCAAGGTAGCACCTCTGCTCCCAGAGGGGCAGGAAGCCCCTTCCCGCCTCCGCAGGCCCGTGGCCGGGGAGAAAGGCTGATTTTTTTGGATGGTGGCTGGGCCGCAGCTGCTTCCTTCAGCAGCTCCTGGCCAGTTTCTGAAATGACACTGAGGCTGACCGTCTTTTTTTTGGTTTTTAAGATTATTGTAATTGATTTGTTTTTAGAGAGAGAGGAAGGGAGAGGAGGAGAGAGAGAGAAACATCGATGTGAGCGAGAGACTTCGATCGGCTGCCTCTTGCGCGCCCCCTCCTGGGGACCGAGCCCGCAGCCTGGGCGTGTGCCCCGACTGGGAACGGAACCGCAACGTGGTGTCGGCCGAATCCTGACTTTCCAGACAGACAGCTGGGCCGCAGCTGGTCCATCCCCTGCTCTCTGGAGGGAAGGGGCCCTGCAGGTGTCTAAACAGATACTTGCCCGGGGGCAGTTTTAGACAAGAGCCCCGGGACAGCGCCACATCCGGTGCCCGCCGCGTGGACAGAGCTGAGGGGGGAAGCTGTGGGCTCCGGGCCTCAGGCCGTGCTGTCCCCCCAGGTTCCTCCTCATGATGGGGGTCCTCTTCTGCTGCGGAGCCGGCTTCTTCATCCGCAGGCGCATGTACCCACCGCCGCTGATCGAGGAGCCCGCCTTCAACGTGTCCTACACCAGGCAGCCCCCGAACCCGGCTCCAGGTCAGCGCCCCTCTGTCCTGGCCCCCTCCCTGCCGTCAGGTGTCCTCTGTGAGCATTTTAACCGCCCCCCCCATGGAATGTGCTGGAAGGAAAGCTCAGGCCGTGTTCCTCTGTTTCCCTTCCCTAACTGGACCATCCACCGTAACCCTCCCAACCTGAGGGCCAGTTCACCTGCGGCATGTCCCAGCCCTGGAGGGCAAGGAGGTGGGGTTGGCGTCCCCTTGGCTTCTGGGCGTCACAGTTCCCGCCACACTGAATCCCCGACCAGCTGGCTCTGTCACTGTTTGGCTGTCATCTGTGACCGGCTCTTTGAGGACATGTGAATCCAGCGCTTACATAAGCAAGCGCCCGGTTTCGCTCAGTGCAGAGGGGCCTGCTGTGAACACGCTGGTCCTGCTCCCCCACAGCAGCGCCTCAGGGCCGCTGCCCACTCGCTGCCCACCTGCTTCTCGCTGCCCACTTCACAGGAAGGATCGGGCGCCTTCCTGGGCCCCGGACCCTTTGCCAGGGCGTGTGGTCCAAGTATTGAACAGATTTACAAGGTCCCTGCCCTCACTGAGCTTCTAATCGCCCCTTCACTCCTCTCTCCTGTACATCTGTCCTCGCACCCCATACACGTGCTCAGACATTTCCCACCCGTACGGACACATCTTCCTTTGCCTGCAGCCCGCTGAGCTGCTCCCGTCCCCT